TGGTCGACAAAAGATCAATATACATTTGCTTGAGACAAGTTTGGTCCTAAGTCAAATGTAGGTGATTGGGATGTGCTCCTCTGAGACATCATAACAAAACTATCTTTAACCTGATTGGATGAATGTTTCCCTCAGTGGGCTGTAAACTGATCTTGAATGCTTGAATATGCTATACTTGCTTACTATGATTGGGACAAAGTGCTAGTTTGGATTTCAATGATGATTCAGAATTGGTCATATTTAGCTTTTAATGTCTAGAAAAGGACTAAAGTGGTCTTGGTGTTGAGACAGCAGTGGTTTAATACATCAAAACATTAATGTTCTTACTCTTTGAACCTCTATTTCTATACGATGTTGACTAAATGAACCTGATCTGATCACGTTTCATGTGTCCTTGTTTTATTCCCAAGATGCAAAATATGCCCGCTCACCTTCCTCACCAAGTCGGATATGCAGATTCACTCCAAGACCCACACGGAGGCTAAACCTCACAAGTGTCCCCACTGCTCCAAGACGTTCGCCAACGCTTCCTACCTGTCCCAGCACCTGCGCATCCACCTGGGCATCAAACCGTACCACTGCTCCTACTGCGAGAACTCCTTCCGTCAGCTGTCACACCTGCAGCAGCACACCAGGTCGGTGCTTCTGTGAACACAAAGCAGCAGAGGTCAAGCTAGTGTGAGGGAAAGTAATAGCCGTTTAGCAGCTACCGCTAACTTACTATGCTACACTCAGATACTATTCTACAACAGCATTTTGAAGTGGGTACTTTCTTGTGTTTTCACACTTCTTTTTATTTCTGTGGCTCTGGTTTTCTCTTACTGGGTATGAGATGTGTTAAAGGTCTCCTATCATGCAAAATGCACTTTTTTATGTCTTTTATACATAAATATGTGTCCCCGGTGTGTCAGGTAACTCACAAAGCGTCAGAAAATAAAACCCTCTCTCTTTTCCTCCGTAACCAAATCTCTAAGAAATGTCGCTATCAGAAACAATGCGCTACATGTTTTGGAAGTAATATGGTGTTTGTTTACATTAGCAACCATCGCTAACACTCAGAGCTAACCTGTACAGAAGAGAGTATGTGTAAAAAAGCAGGAAATAAAAAAAGGAACTCACCTTGTAGTAAACAGTTTGGTATTTTGAGCAAAACACATCATAGACATGTTTTTAATATATTTGTATATATCTGAGAAACATAATATATGCCTGAAAATAGCATGATAGGAGATCTTTAAGTCGTGCCTTGGGATTTATAGAGTCTGTTGTGAAAGTCATTACAAATCTAAAATGTTTCTGCTTCTTCTGCCACAGAATCCACACTGGCGATAGGCCTTATAAATGTGCTCACCCCGGATGTGAAAAGGCTTTTACCCAGCTGTCTAACCTCCAGGTCAGTACATGGTCACACAGTTGATAATACAACAAGTTGCAAAGATGTTAAAATTAACAGATTTTCTCTGTTTCCTCCCCAACAGTCTCACCAGAGGCAGCACAATAAAGACAAGCCGTATAAATGTCCTAACTGCTACCGTGCCTACTCAGACTCAGCATCGTTGCAGATCCACTTGTCAGCGCACGCCATCAAAAACGCTAAGGCCTACTGCTGTAGCATGTGTGGCCGGGCATACACCTCAGTGAGTAGACCACAGGTTATCAGTTTGTTGATTTGATGTGTCAGGGTATTCCAGTTGTGACCTTCTGTCTAACTCTATATCAACTGAGGAGATGATGGCCTTTGATAACACTCGGCCTGACTTCGCCTGAAACTAGCTGCGTTTCCTGTTTGTCATAGTTAGCACTTCAACTTGTTCTTGCTCAAAAAATCCGGCTAAATGCCAACAACGTGCTAGACCTAGCTTTTAAAATGATAAATGTTGCCTGTTTTTATCTTTTAGTAAGTAATATTAGTATCTGTGGGTTTAAAAAAAAAAGCTTTTGCTTATGCTCCTTACAGAGAATGCTTCTCAACCATGTTACATTTATGCAGGACAGGTTTAATTTCAAACAAAACACAATAAAAGCTTATTTTGCCAATTCTAATGTGTTTACTTTAGCTCTCTCCAAGGTAGAAGTGTGCTACAGTTTGGACATCTTGATTTATTTACCGAGTAATGCGTTAATATATAATATGTCTTAGTTTATGAGGAATTATAAGGGTCAAATGTCATTTAAAGATGAAATGTTTGTACAATGCACTGTAACCTTTTTCTCCGGGAGGCTTAAAGACATTTCTATAGGTTTAGAATCCTGATTCTGAGAATCAAAAGGTTTAAAGTCCAGATTCTGGGAATCAAAAATAGGTTGAAAGCCCTCGATCCTGGTTGTCTAAAAGAAATTTGTTTAAAATCTTAGATTCAGGGAATCTAAAAAAGAAAAGGAAGTTTCTGGGAAATGTAAAAAGGTCTCGGGGAGGCTTTGATAGACAGGTTTATTCATGTATTATATACCTGTGTTATTCAAGTTCTATGTGTTTTTTATTATCTTTGCTTTTTAATGCTGCTTTTCTGCTGCACTATTTCTTAATGCCCTTAATGTCTTGTATTTTTGTAAGGCACTTTGAAATGCCTTCCGTTGAAAGGTGCTATATAAATAAACTTGCCTTGCCTAAGCAAAAATGTTTATTTTCATTAATGTCATTGACTTAACTTGGCCCATTTGGTGTGTTTTCTTGTGTTTTGTAGGAGACCTACCTTATGAAGCACATGTCCAAACACACGGTGGTGGAGCACCTAGTGAGCCACCAGTCGCCTCAGAGGACTGACTCCCCCAACATCCCCATCCGCATCTCCCTCATCTGAGCCCCCCCGCTCGGCAGCAGGTCGGATTCAAAGTCTATGTTAGGCTGGAGCTTATGAGGCCATGCACCCACAGCCATCTACATAAGGCTTACATTAGCATTATGACAGCTGACATAAGCATTCAGTGCTAGATTCAGTAAACAGGCTGCCTCCATGATCCATCTCGACACAGGCTGTCTGTCAAAAATGAGCACAGCGTTATTTTGTGAATGTATTAAAAAAAAATACAGCTAGATGTTGTCCGGAGGATCGAGAGGCAAAGAATGTCTTGCGTCAGATTTAATAAGCACTTTCGTAAGCGTCATGTAAACTGCCGGATGCATTGGCCATCAGAAATGTTTTAGTTTTAGGTTCCTTTACTTTTCTTTTTTCCTCTTCCATGAAATGGGTTTCCAAAATGTGCCAGATGATATTTGCCCTTTATAGAGAATTGAGAGGATAGAAAAACATGTTTGCTGGGTGTATTCTGGAGACATCCAAAGATAATCTTAAAGCACTTTTAGGCCTTGTGGTTTTTGCTCAAATTGTATCAATCTTGTTTGGATGGAAAATGCCAAAGGGCATTACTTGTGGCAGCTAAGAGCACTGACTGTGTATAAAATACAGTCTTTTTTTTTTTTACTTTCTTTGTTTTTTACTCACATATTTGTGCAAGTACACATTTACAGGGTCATCTAAATTTGAGGAAGGCAATCGGTAGATGACAATTATAACATTTAATGATTGTATTAAGAAGTTGCATTATTGACTTGGCGAGGCAAAAAGTAGAGCAACATGGAAGGGAAGAAGGATGAATGTTTTTTTTAAATTCCAAAACCTTTCACTCCATATTCATCTTTACGGCACCTTTATGATCATATAACGTATGATCAAACACTGCTTTTAAATTGTGTTTTCCTCGCGTCCAGTTAACTAGTGCCATATATGAACCTTGTTGAGGTATTAAGAGAAAGCTATTCTTGTTATAGTGTGTCTGCTTTCTCTACTCCGTTAAGCTTTGACTATTATTTTTGTAGTTTTAAAAGGTTGAATAAATTGCACATGTACCAGTGCCAGCTCTACTTTTAAACCCTCTTCAAGTGAAATCAAATTTTACTTGAGTGGTCAATTTTAAAACCCAAACATTGGACCAAAATGTGAAGTTATTGTACAGCTACTCTAACCCAGTTACATCCTTTTTTTTAATCTTAAATAAGCTTTACCCATTTGGAATGAACTGCAGTATAAGTCATATTCCATAGGCCTATGTTATGAGTTCATGTGGAGCTGATGCTTCTCCTTTTGAGGTTATTTTCTCCTTTAGTATTCTTTTTATTGTACACAGTATTGTTTGCTGTATTTTTACTGTAACTTTAACCTCTGGATGGTACTAATAGAGTACCCTGTATTCTTCAGGGCACTGCAGAAAAAGGTGCTACAGCTAGATGTTACGTCTGACATGGAACTGAGAATAATGTAAAATACATATACAGTATATAGTATGTTTTCAAAAGAATAAAAACGTATTAATCAAGCCACTGGCCTGAAAACAGACATTTACGCCAACAACAGACCCTGCCTCTTCAACTTACTCTCTCTTTTGAGATAATGGGAAAATGTACATGTTGCTGTACTGTAAAACATGTTACTCATTTATAGTACCTATTTTTTAGTTTTCATAAACATGCTCTGTTTGGGTTTTGTAAAAGTTTATGTATTAACTGTAATTATTTTAGTCTACCCATATGTTATTAATATTCATGTTTTATATCAGTTATTTACATGTAAGCCTTAACTGTTTTATCATCGCATTTCCATTACTCTGTATTGTGTTCTGCAGTATTCAGTCGTGTAAGCATTTTCATTTTTTTCCTTCCGCATGGAGTTCCTGAGCTGTAACCTGTATGATAACTGTTTAACCCATGTTCTCTATGAAAAGATATTGCGTAGATTTATTACACTTTTTCCTGTCTTGCATTGTGGTTTCATATACAGTTTCTAGACAACTAAATATGCACAGCCAAGATTGAGGAGTTAAACTAAGGTTATCAATGTTTAAAAAAGGAAAAAAAGCTTTGTATCTTTACCTTGTTTAATAAACAGACTGTTATAAATTCATCAGATCGCTTGGTTTTTACAAAAAATGTGTTTCGAATCTGTGTTTTTAAGAGAGCAGGATGGAATGGAGGGGGGGGGAAATCAAACATTACAGTTTTTATGCATTTCTTTTTATTTATGAAAATATTTGTATGTTTAAAAAAGTATTTACAAAGATACAACAAAAGTCAAATATTTATGCTGATTAGATTTCAGTTTACATGTCAGTCGCAAAAAGGCTTTTCTTGTTCAGGCAGCAGCAAGATAAAGACAAACACTTCATAATTTCAGGCACATTTTCATAGTGTACAATTCTATTAGTGACAACAAATGGTGGTATGAAAAAGTGTATTTTATTCCCATGACACACGTCTCTTTAGTACAAGAGTACTTTGTGATTGAATGTCCCTGGAGGAAACCACTGAGGTTGACCAATGTATAAAAAAAAACAGCTTTCGTTGCTTGAAATAGACAAAAAGAATCTCTTGGAATTGCCACAGGCAAAGCTGCATATCGTAAATACTGGAGTGTCAGCAGCTGAGAAGCTATATGAGGGAGGGGTTTGGGAGAGGACCCCCATGTTTGGACTCTGTTACCACACAGTCTTTTATTATACATAAAGTAGATCGCAATATTATCAATGTTGTTTACAATAGGTACGACTTTGTAAACTTGTAAGAATGTTGATGTGTTTTAAGATGGTTTGACACCTTAAAAACTCAAAAAACAACACTTAAGGCATTTCTTCATTGAAAACACTGCAAGAAGTAACTGGAGGAAATATATTCTATTGATATACCGTTAGTATCCACTGCTACATTTTCCACACAAAAAAAAGTAAACTTCATATAAAGTGCTCATTTTAAAACTCAAACAAATCTTCGTTGTTAAATGTCTTTTTGACATTCGCTGTGTCATGTGAATTACATTGTCTTATTTTGTACCTCGACATTATAAAAAATGTATACTTTTCGTGAAAGCAAACTAAAACTAAACAACCTCCAGGCGTATGCACACATTGGGGCAAACATACTGTATAAGGTTGTGCCGCCCAAATCAAAGCTCTCATTACACCCTGTTTGTCATTCAAATGTTTTGACACTTGCACATGCCTTTTTAAAATCCCTCACATTATCACTTTGGACTTAAAAAAATAAGCCAAACAAGCTTCTACTTTTCAATACAAAACAGATATCACCCTGAGCAGAGCTGCAGCGCCAGCTCCCGTTCATTATTACTGCCTTTTAACAAGGATTATTTATTATTTTGAGATATTGAGTCTCTAATGGAAGTGGCGGATTACTTGACCTTTAGTGCTTTTTCAAGAGGCATTTCCAAGGCGGGTTTAGAGTTGGAGCCACATTTTGAATCCACTTTTTCCTGTTTCCACTGAAAATTGGTTCAACTCGAGCACCGACTTTTTGCTCGGCCTGCACCAAGAGCCCAGAGCCGTATTCGTCAGAGGCTGGAGCGAGAATACTTGGAGCAACAACAGTTCATTGTGTGTACGAAGAGCAGTAGAGAGTTGCTGGAGACAAGGAGAAAATGGTCTTGCAATTCAATGTTGCTTCATAAGAGTAAGTGCAAAAGGAGCTCAGCTCTGATGCATTCTTTCATTGTTCTTATTGTGAGAAAAATGTGCACTGGCGTAAAAGCTGTGACATACACGATGTCGTCATGACGGGGCTCCTCTCGGGATCTAGTCAGTGGAAAAGCAAACGGGTTCTTAGGAAGCTTGCAAGCTGAACTAAATCCGACACTAGCCCCGGCACAAAACTTGAACAGAACTCATTTTAGTGGAGAAAAAGGTCAGATCTGATCCTCCTTGATCGCTCTCTGTCGCAAACACAGGCAACGTCCCTACGTAAACCTCCCACCTCTCATACCTGCTCACTGTTATTAGAGCCCCCCTCCGGGCCTCTGATGTCTGGAGGAACCAATGGGGAGGTGAGATTCAGGTAGCTCTGCTCCGATGGCTGGTGGCTGGACACCCGGGGGCCGCCCACCTTCACACGGCAGATTGCATCCAGGATGTCCAGAGTGTCACACGAGCCTGACGTCAGACTGGAAATACAGACGTTGTGAGAAATGGCCGACAATGCACAACAAGCATTCACCTATACAGTATGTTAGCATATCAATGTGTGGTGTAGCAGACAATTTATGTTAGGAATTCTTGTCAGGATTATTAAAGCAATATTCTTTTGCTCCAACAACAGCATTGTAAGTATACCAAAAAAAGGAAAATATCAATCAAATAGTTTAAATAAAACAATTTCCCTTCATAAAAACCCCCTCACCTTAGCGCAGATGTATGTGGGAAGCCATCACTGAGATTTTCAGAGGGGATCACTTTCTTGGCATTCTGTTGAGCATTTGAAACACTTTTGAGTAAAACGGCAAAGACTAATATTGCTAATGCTTGATGACCTTTTTTAAAACAACAAATGAAACCTGAGAAATTGGGGTGAAATTTCCCATTAAGGCTTACAGATCTGAATGGCGTTACCTCCAGGCTGTAGTAAGACTGGACGTTCCTCAGGGCTCGCTCTAAGGAACCGACTTGGTTGGAGAGCTTCAGGGATCGATCCTGAAGTTGTCTGTTTTCTACTTCTAACACGTTGACCCTAGAATGCAGATTCATGTTAGCAGTCACTCACAAAACTATTTACCCTGTGTGTCCCTTACCAACACATGTTTCTATAGGATTCATTCTATTTTTTTTTTACACATAAGAGTTCATAAAATACAGATAATAATCAAGAAACCACAGGCTTGTAAGGCAGACCAATATGAAAAGCAAAAAAGAGAAAACTAGGTTAACATAATATAGAAAAATATAACAAAAATAATGACAACAATCCATTAAAAACAACAGGGGTTCTGATCAATGAGAGCCCCATTTGAGATATTTCAGACAAGTTAACATACGCATTTTTTATAATAATACTTAATTTCCACTTGGAATAAAAGTATACTGATACCCAGATACTCATGTTGCCACTTCAAAACACAGAGCAGAAGGTATGATTGTAAAAAATAAATATAAAATATGTAGGATTCATTAAGATACCTGTGTTGGATAGTGGAGGCGGTCCGCATGCCGTTGCTGCCCATTTCCTCTGCCTCGCTTATCTTCCTCGACAAATCCCTCTTCTCCCCCAAAAGCTTCTCATTCTCCTCCGTCACTGTGTGGATCCGCTCCTTCTCCTGAAAACCACCAGGGAGAAATATACAAAAACAGAGATACTTTAGAAAATATTTGTCTCTCACAAACATCTCTTATAGAGCTAAAAGAACACAGACAGCTTTCTGCATTGTGTGTGTATGTGTGCGTGCATGCGTGTGTGTGTATGTGTGTGTGCGTGCGTGTGTGTGTGTGACCTTGTGAGAGAGGCTGGAGGCCAGCATCAGGTCGTTCTCCAGTGTCTGGATGATGCGATCCCTCTGCGCTGTCTCCTTGAGGAACACCTGCTTGGCCTGACGCAGCTTGCTCTTGTGTTGACTCTGCTTCTCGTTGTACTTCCTGGTTGGCAGAGCAGAGGAAATTAACCTCAGGGGAGGCAAATACTTCTCCACGTGTCATTATTACTAATGATGCTATAACCCCATCCAGTTGATCTGAAATGCGTAGTTATTTGTTTGCCAAAGAACAGGAGTTTTCCAAGTAAATATCGGTACCACTTTACAATAAGACTACCCTTATAAAGTATTCATAAAGGGTTTATAATTAGGTTATGAATTAGGTTGTAAACACTTTATTTATCATTAAGAACCATTTATAAACCAGTTCTAACAGTTTTCATACATCAACACAGCCTCACTATTTGGCAAGATGACTAAGCCTTATATTGGCTACTTAGCGAGAATCAACTCTGTGAGCAACAGATACCAAGGATGCTGGCTGATGAAGTAGACGAAGTAAGCTAAGTAGCCAATATAAGACTTAGCAGTACAGATAAATGTGGGCTCTCTATTTGGCAAGCAACCGGTCACAGTTGTCCTGTTTATCTCATGTCTTATAAAAGCTTATTAATGATTTATAAAGTGTTCACAACCTAATTTATAAAATTAATTACAAACTATTCGTAAACCCTTTATAAAGGGTAGTCTTATTGTAAAGTGGTACCTAAATATCTATATCAATGTGAGTGTGTGTCCCACCTGATGTGTGTGTCCAGTTGGAGGAGGAGTTGCTGCAGCTCCCCGTGCAGCCTGTCACTCTCCTGCTGACTGGCCATCAGCTCCTCCTGCAGTCTGTTAACGGACTTCTGGCTGTCTCTCGCCTGAAGACATATACAACACATCTTGATTCAAAATGCATTTTCAGCTATTACACAAATGTAAAATATAAACAATGAATATGGCTAGCCAGTTATTGTGAGGACTGTGTAGACTATTTGTTGAAGTGTCAGTCAAAATAAATGATGACAAAAAAAAACGATTTATAACATATGAATAGTTTTAAAGAAAATATGTTATCACCCCACTTTATGGAATTTACTGATTGGCAGTTATTGATTAAAATATTGACATTAGAAGTAGAGATAAAGTGAGAGGGCTAACTGATTGTACCATCACTATTATGGCACCTTTGTTAGCCCCTTTGAAACAAATGCATCACTTTACAAAAGGTGCCAAATTATAATAGACTATTGGCAAATATAGTAATGTAACTGAACTTTCACTGAAAAGCTAAGTACAGGCTAAGAATAAAAGTTCTGAATCACATTTGGTCTAAAATGATGTTAAAAATACATTAAAGGTCACCTATTGTGCAAAATCCACTTTTTCATGTCTTCTGTACATAAATATGTGTCCCCTCTGCGTTAAGAGATTCTGAAAGTTTCAGGAAAAAAGATTCTCTCTTTTTGATCCATCTTTATAAAAATGATCTGTTTGGTATTTCGAGCCAAACACTTCAGAGACATGTTTTGTATATAACTGAGAACTATAAATTGATCAAAAACAGTATATTAGGGGACCTTTAAAAGTATGCGTGGTGCCTTGGGTGTCTGAAACCCTGCAGCATCAATACATCCCGTTACATTTCATTAAGCTGACCCTTTCATCCAAAGACACTGCCAATAAAGACAATAACCTGAGACCAGTGGTTGGACCATCTACATCAATAGTTTAGGTGAAAATGTCGATGGAGCAACCTTACATTTTTATGCGGACGATACCGTTATGTACTGTGCATGTCCCTGTTGTTGAATTGCAAACTGCTTTTAACATTATTCAGACTCAGCTTTCTGAACTAAAGCTTCTTTTAAATGTTGATAAAACCAAGGTAATGCTCTTTTCAAAAGCCAAAAAGACACCAGAGCCTGTTTTAGATATTTTAACTACGCAAGGAATAAAACTTGAAGTGGTTGCCTGTTACAAATACCTTGGTATCTGGCTTGATGATTGTCTCACTTTTAAACTTCATGTCAATAACCTGCTTAAAAAACTAAGGGTTAGACTAGGTTTCTTCTACAGGAACAAGTCCTGTTTCTCGCTTGAGGCCAGGAAAAGGCTAGTCTCTGTGACCTTTTTACCTGTGCTGGACTATGGTGATCTGATTTATATGAATGCACCTGCCAATTGCCTGGTCAAGTTAGATGCTGCGTATCACAGTGCACTGAGATTTGTGACAAACTGTAAAGCATTAACCCATCACTGTACCCTGTATGCAAGGGCTGGTTTGCCTTCGCTAACTGTACGGAGGCTCAGTCACTGGTACATTTTTATATACAAAGCCATGTTAGGGAAACTTCCATCCTACATCTGCTCTCTGATCTCACGGCGAATTGTAAGTGGCTACTGCCTGAGATCGCATGCTGTGGTTTTATTAAATGTGCCAACTGCTAGGACTGTCTAAGGGAAGATAGCATTTAGATGTGCAGCTCCACTGTCCTGGAATAGTCTGCAATTAAAATGGAAACTGAGCAATCTGGTGCCACTAAATGTTTTTAAAGCTCGGTTGGATGCTACTGAATCGGAAGCTGTTGGTACCTGTGCATGTGGATAGTATGTCATTTGTAATCCCTGTAATGCTACTGTATGATGTCCTTTTGTTGTTCTGTTTATGTTTTTAATGTTTCATGTGGAACCTACTTGAGCAGGTCTCCCTTGAAAAAGAGGTCAATGATCTCAATGGGATACAACCTGAATAAATAAAGGTTTGAAATGAAATGAAATGAAATGAAATGAAATGGACCCTGCTCTTACCTCCTCTCTGGCCTTGCTGAGCTCCGCCTCTAACACAGCCAGGCGTGTGTCCAGCTGCTGCGCGCGGTGGCTGAGCTCTGCGTTTGCCCGCGTCATGGAGGCCTCCTTCAGCCTCAGGGAGCGCACCTGCTGCTGCAGCTCCTCCTCACGCTGCTCTACCAGCTTCCTGAGATAGGGATGGCGGAAAGGAATGGTGGTTAACAAAAACACTGCGTGGGAATTGTGTCGTATATGTTGGTTATGCCACCATAGCTGCGGGTTTAGCGTAGCAGCAGTGCAGTTTGTGTGACCTGGTGATGTGCTCCTCCTGCTGCTGGGCTCTCAGGGCTGACAAGGTGTCGGACAGATCTCTGCTGTCCCTCTCCAGGCGGCTGCTCTCCCCCGCCCGGGCTTCCTCCACACGCAGCTGGTGCTGGGCGCTCTTTAGCTGCTGCTGTAGCTCCAACACCTGCCAACAAACAGAGCCACAGGCTTCACTCAGAGTGACATACAGATAACATGAGCTCCTGAACCCCAGAATCCCTGAAGGTGTCGGCCAGAAATAGACAATAATGTTGGGGAATAACCCTGAGAAAGAGCTATGCCAGATGAGGAAGAACAAATGCTACATCTCTACAAAAGCACACACAGATCCCAAGGATCTTCTCATGGGGCAAATGCTTCTTATGTGCACCTAATATTAAGATAGGGTCAACTTTAATAAAACTCAAAGTGCAAACTACAGTAGGACATTGAAGTCCTAGGTTATTAAAAATGTACATTTGTATGAATATATATGTTGTGCTGCATAGTCATTTCCACAGGATGGGAAACTATATTCCATTATGGGCTCAAAATGTAGGTTTTATGGTGGATTTCAATAATAAGCAGACATCAACATGAGGAGTAAATAAGGTGTAAAATCCCATGGGGTCTTTTCACAAAGCCTGAAACCAGGTTACCAATCTAACTAAGAGAGGTTATGTATTACCAGATGTAATATGAAGTTGGAATAAATGCACTGAAGTCTGTGTAGCATTTGCGCGTACTGACCTTCTTGTCAGCAACAATGAGCCGGGCCCTCTCGTTCTGCAGGTCCTCCTGCAGGCTGGTGGTGGCGCTGCGGTTTGTGGAGTTACGCGCCAGTTCTAACTCCAGCTCCCTGATTCTCTGCTGCTGACGTTCACACTCTGCCGCCTGAGAGTGAACGCACTGCTCCAACTGCACCAGCTTGGTCTGGAGCTGCTTCAGCTCTGCACAAAGCTGAAGGCATAAAAGAACATAAACACAAAAACACCAAAGTAACAAGTATTCTAACAATTACAGCTTTTTGTACAGCACCTTTCTTCCAAGTTTATTCTTCAGATTTGTGCCAACTGTGCTGTTGTAAAAGACTGACCTTGAGTTTCTCCTGGTCCAGCAGGGTGTTGTGTCTCTTCGTGTCCATGTTCTTCTCCTTCTCGTAGCGCAGCTCCCTCTCTGCGGAGGTGAACAGGCTCTGGGCCCTCTGCAGGTCCTGCTTCATCTGCTTCGCCTCCTCTGCCTTCTGGCTCAGCACCGAGTCCTGGGACTGAAGAGGGGAATGAGAGACAAGGTTGGGATGTGTTTGCACTGAACGGGAAGTACAGATCATTTTCAGGTAGCACATCATAGATGTTCTTGTGGCTGCTGTGAATCATCAACCAAACACACTAGCCGTGGATAAAGAGTCAAAAACCGTAAAGGCATGATTCACAACTGGAGTTTTTATACTTAACATTGGCATATATTATAATTATAAAAGAGAGAAAGATTGCCAGAAATGCAACTAGCTATAATAGTTTTGAAAATGTGTTTTTTTTTTTTTTTTTTTTTTTTTTTAAATCGTAACTTAAATTCATATCAGGGATGTTACTCAATCAAATAATATGTATTACATTTTTGATTGCCTTGAAGAAGGGGACTTACTGCAGCTGATGTGTAAGCTAAAGTTAACCAGTAAAAATACAATGATGTTATTAACCCAAACTCAATAATACTGAATATCTGTGCATGTTAAGGGTTTATTATGATCCTGCACACCTTGATGTGTGCCAGCGCCTCACTGACTTGAGCCTGCAGGGCCAGTTGGTGCTGAGCGGCCAGCTGCTGCTGCTCCTCCAGCTGGTTCTGCAGATGATTCAGCTCCTGCGTCAAACATGAAAACTATCAAGACAACCCACACACACACACACATATGAATCACACATTATTCTAGCAGAGGAAATTCCCTTTCTGGTCACCTTCCCCTACAGGAAGGTAAAAAGGTTAGGATCAGCTTGTACTGGTGGCGATATATGCCTTAATCAAGGACAGTTGTGGAATGTACCCAAGTACATTTATTCAGATACCTTTCTCAAGTACACATAGAGGTACTTTAACTTTACTTATTCCAGAGATTCATAGCTACTATATTCCTTTTATGTAACATTGTACTTCTCCACTACGAGTGAAAGTTTCCACATTTTACTCCGATATAATCAAAGACAGCATTAGTAACTCTTCCGTTACAGTTTTTAATACCTATACCTATTTAGTGTTCCTATTGGGGTTAAGAAAATCCTCCAGTTTTTAGGATAAAAAAACCTCTTTGATCAGCTGAAAAATGTCTCATTAAAATACTTAAATATTGCTTTCAATACTCACACACTTTTACTTAAATTAGATTTTGAAAGCAGCAGTTTTATTTGTTGGAGAGTGCTTTCACAGGGAAGTGTTAGTGTTTACACTTACAGTAAGGATGTTAGTCATTCAGCACTTTGAAGGGCAGAATTCAGTTGAATTGAGTGAAGTTGTAGGACATTCTCTCTACTTGACCCTGTAAACCACATTTCTAAACCTCTATATATCTCAACAGTCTTACTGAGATGATTTCACATTATAGACTTTTCTACAAACCGAATGACCCTACCAATGTATTGCTGTTACCTGATCATCATCCTTGGTTCTCTCCACTGGATTTAGCCTAGATTCTATATGAGCTGTGTGCAGTTCAGGCTTCTGACTGCTAAGAAGTGCTTCCTTTGTTGAGGAGAGCCGCTCTTGATGCCACTTGAGCTGCTCTTTGAGGCGCTGCATCTGGATCTCCAGTCTCTCTCTT